AAAAAAAAAAAAAAAGTAGAGGAGCGTGCAAAGCTACATAGAGGAGCCAGCCAGGATGTGGTCCAGACCATGGGAGAGCCAGCGAGTAATGGGGGTCCACTCGGAACCCCTGATCTTTTTTGTCATGGTGTGGCCCATTTTTCCTCCTCCTTATTGAGATTCTGAGAACTGTCACCCCCAGGGCCAGGCTCTCAGCTCCTAACCTGTTTCCCTTGCAGTGTCTTGTGGACCCCCGCCGGAGCTGCCCCTGGCTCAAGTGTTCGGCCGCCCACGACTACGCTATGAGGTGGACACTGTGCTTCGCTACCGGTGCCGGGAGGGACTGGCCCAGCGCAATCTGCCACTAATCCGCTGTCGGGAGGATGGTCGTTGGGAGCCCCCCCAGATTTCCTGTGTGCCCCGAAGACCTGTGAGTGCTAGGAGGAGGTGGGGGGACATGAACCAACGTGAGCCCTGGATTCCAAACCCAGCTTTGCCTGTCACTGGCTGTGTGACCTTGGAGAGTCACTGCCCCTCTCTGGGACAAAGAGAAAGGGGTGGCCTGGATGCTCTGGGGTCTCCTTCAGTGCAGGTGTCTGAGACATGCAGCCAGAACAGCAAAGGTCAGGACCCAGAAGAGAGGGAAGAAGGAGCGCGGGGTGGAGGGTGAGTGTGTGTGTCTTTCCCAGGCCCGAGCTCCGCATCCAGTGAAGGCCTCAGTAGGACGTCAGGGGAGGCTACCAGGCCACTGGAAGGCACTGTTGACCCCTCCTTCCAGCCCCAGTCCAGGTCCCTAGGGGCAAGGCCTTGGACACTGCTGGCTGCAGCACCGCCCTCTTGTGCCAACCCTCCCTCCACACCCTGTGCTCTTGTCGCCACAGGAAGTGACAATATGAGAGGGTGGGGCCGAAGTCCAGGTGACAGTGCCTGAAGGGGCTTCTGGGAAATACCTGGAAGGCCACAGCCCAGCTCAGGCCCTTTCCCCCTACCCTGGGCATCAGGTTTTTCCCTCAGGGCAATGGGTAAGTCCCTAAGTGCCTCAACTTCCCCTCCCTGCCAGCCATCCTGTCCCTTCCATTCCTCTGGGGGGCACTGTGCCCACTCATTCTTGGTTTTCCAAGGTAATGGGTTTGCAGAAGGGAGTATCTGTGAAACCAGCAGGAAATAAAGCTGCATTTGAGCCCAAGTGAGTTGGATACGTGTGTGTGTGTGTGTGTGTGTGTGTGTGTGTGTGTGTGTGTGTGGTGTGCATGTGTGTGACAGAGAGGTGGATAGCTGTGGTTGGCCAGGGCCTCAGAGGAGAGATGGAGCTTCCGTGCTTATTAGCTTCTGAAGGTCAGAGAGGTCCCCCAGGACGTCAGAGGACAGAACAGTGCCTGGCACTGGATAGCTGCCCAGTAAGTACATGGAACAAAGGCACCCACAGGGGTGGGGTGCCCACTGGAGTGTGCTGGATGTTTGGGGAGAGATGGAACGCCAGAGGGCCCATGCATCAAGCAGATAAGTTTGGTCTGGGGCGGGAGAGGGGCTGAGGTCCCAGAGAGGAGGGCAGAGAGGTGGGTGCCTTTGATGTCCCATTCTGAGTTTCTGGAGGGGGGCTCTCCCAGGGGGGTGTGAGGGTGAAGCGAAGGCCCCCCTGGCACGCGGCAGGTCCAGAGGTTAGGCTGCAGGAAGGCTGACCTAACGCAGAGGATATAGAGGTGCAGGAAACAGGGGAACAAGGTGAGGGCAGAGGGGAGGTCCCCAACCCTGCGAGCAGGCTGGGCTCTGGGGAATGACCTGCGAGTCTCAAAGGCTGTGGCCCGTAGAGGGTGCGGTGGGTGCAGGCGCGTCCATACGAGATCGCCGTTTGCGCGTGCGTGAGTGGGGCGGCCGGGAGGAGCCCCAAGATGCCGCCAGGGGGCGCGGCGGGCTTTCTTTCCGAGGGGCCGGGGCGGGAAGGGGGGTAGCTGGCTGGGGCGGGAGAGTGACTTCCGGCCAGGCTGAGCCAGGCCTGGTGGCTGTGAGTCAGCGGAGGTTGAGATGGTGAGGTCACTCTCTGAGAAGTGGAGAATGATGTGTGTGTGTGCGTGTGTGTGTGCGCGCGTGTGTGTGTTCGTGTGCACGCGAAGTGCAAGCTCTGCCTTGGACCCCATCACAGTGCCCAGCTTCGTGCTTTTTGGTAAAATGTGTCAGGATGCAGCTGTCCTCATCCCATGATGGGGATGAGTCTTACAGTTGCAGACCCTCCCAGCCACAGGCAGGCACACACACGCACACTGTCATGTGTGCACACTCCTGCTTGTGTCCACTCAGTTATGCCACTTCCACCCCCATGGGCAACTCTTCTTCCTTCTCTGAAGTCAGTAAAACAAGGTAAGATCAAGAGACAGGGAGACAGATGCAGAGGAGGCAAAGGCTGGGAGAGGCTGGGAGAGACCCAGGGACAGTGAGGTAAGACAGGGAGAGACAGGTTCAGGAAGTAGTGGGTTCCGCCAGGCCACTCCTGCCCAGCCCCTGGGCCTTCCCCACCCCGTGTCCAAGCCCAACACCAGCTGGTCTCTGGGACCCCCACCCTGAACTCCCAGACCCTCCACCACCACATTCCGTCCTCACCCCAGGGCTCACCTGTCACACCTCCTGCCTTCTCCACCCCACCCAGCCCACCATGGCTAGGGAGGAGGAGCTGTTTCTAAAGGAGCTCCGGGGAAGAAGACAATTCTGGGGCCAGAGTAGACCCTCACTTTATCCTGTATGACCCGACTGCCCAGTCAACACATTTGAGGGCTGGCAGGGCCTGTAACTGGGGTCATGTGGATGAGGACCATGGCGGGTATCTGGAGGCAGAGCCAGAAGAGGAGAGGCTGGGAAGGGGCCATGTCCCTCCTCACAGGGCCTCCTGCATCCTCACAGAGGAGCTCAGGCAGCCTGCTGGGTTCCCAGAGGGACGGCGGTGGCGAGCTGGAAGGGACTCTGGTTTTGCAGGGGTTCTTCCCCCAGCAGTGGGAGAGCCCCGCCATCTTCCCCGACCTGTAGATGGGGAGAGTATCAGAGGTCCTAGATGGAGGGCTGGAACTACTGGTCCCCGACACCTGCTGGGTTGCTCTGTTGCCGGAAACGGAAGCCTTCCCCTGGCTTTGTTGGGCTTCCTGGGGAAGGGGGAGCTGGTCCAGGGATGACTCAGCGCCTGCACACAGAATCCAAGTCCCGGCCTGGGGGTGTGTGTGTGTGTGTGTGTGTGTGTGTGTGTGTGTGTGTGTGTCCTGTCCCAGCCCTGAGCAGGGGGAATTGGCCCCTCATGGAGTGCCAGCCCCATCACTTTGGGGAAATGGAGCAGGGGCCACGCCTGTGTCTGCCTCTGCCCCTAGCACCCAGCACAGCTCTAAAGGTGTGTCCACCCCACCACACCCTGGATAGTGGGTTGGCCCTCGGCTGAAGTGAGGTCCCTGCTGGTTCCTGTTCCCTAAAGATGAAGGAGACCAGAATGTGCAGGGAGAGACAAGGGTCTCAGCATTGCTGAGGGGCCTGGTGAGGTGTCTTTCGAACCCCATCCATGGGGTCCCAGCCTTCTCCCAGGCTGACATATGCCTGGCTCCCCATTCTTCCCCCTCACCCCCGACTCCCACAGCACTGCCCTGACCTCACTAGAGCCTTTGTCCTAGCCTGGAAGCCCTGTCTGTGGGCCTGTCTCCTGCACAGGGAGAGAAAGGGCTCCATTGTCCTGGCTGCCTATGGTGACACACAGCTCCTAAAGACTTCCAAAAATGCTCAGCCTGTCAGACCCCATGGGTGGGAGGACTTTCCCCAGAAGGCTGCAAGCAGATCTCTGCCTGGGGTGAGGACCCAGGTGCCAGCTCTCCTGGCTATGCAAGAGTTCTCCATTCCTCAGAATGGAAGTCCTTCCTGAGATCTGACTTTCACTCTGCCTGCTGCAAAGCAGTCTTCTTCCTCCTGGGAAGGGAGAACTGAAATGCAGCAGCAGAGCATGAGGAGGGGATTGGGAAGGAGAGAAGAGAAAAGGAAACAGGGAGAAAGGAAGACAGATGTGAGGAAATCCCCCACCGAGACTCCAGAACTTGGTGAATTGTCTGAGTGGGTGGCCCTATAGCTTCTGTGCTTATTCTGATGATTTTTCCTTAGTCATTAGATAGCTTGTCAGCAGAGGGAAGGCTGCTGACCATTTGGGCTGGAGCATTTAAGGAGGACAGCCCCTGTTCTATAGACTCCAAGTGGCTTTCTGGGAACTCCTAGTATAATTGACGAGTAACACTGCTCTGTGCCTCAGTGTCCCCATCAAAGTGAGTTGATGTTCTCTCTGACATCACTTCCTGGCGAATGAGGTGAATAGAGAAGGAAGGAATTCTGAATCCCGAAGAGGCCAAGGGATGATTGGGAAGGAGCCAGGGAGGAGGGAAAAAAGGTGAAGCCAGGAGCCAGGGTGAAGCCAGGAGCCAGGGTGAAGGGGGAACAGGGAGGCGTGGGGTCTCCAGGACCCAGGAGGGGGCCAGAGCCGGCGGGGCTCACCCTGAGTCTCTAGCCACCCTTCCTGGGGTGCTGGGGCCCCAGCTCATAAGCAGCTGAGCGCACAGCTGTCGGGAGGGGGTTCCTCGACAGAGGCCTCCCGGCACCTGCTTCGGTTTATTTCTGGAGCCACAGCTGAGTCCTGGGGGTGGGGGAGTGCCTGGGAGGTTGTGCCTGGAAGAGGAGGCTGATGACAGGAAGGGGGCCACAACCTGGAGCCCTGGGACCCAGGTCCATCCCTTGGCAAAAGCCTCAGGAGCAGGATTTGATACCAAGTTGGAGCACTGGCAGTGGTGGGCTGGGAAAGGGAGTCCGGGGGCAGGAGGCAGGCCCAGATGCTTGACAAAGCTGGAGGTGGGCGGATCCGAGTGAGGGTGCCATGTTTGAAAGAGGGAAAACAGGGAAAGGGAGCCCTAGGGTGTAAAGACACAGGGAAGCAGGACATAGAGCGGGGGCCAGCCCCTCAGTGGGCCATTCCGGGGCTCCTGAGCCAAGCAGCCCCTGCCCTCGTTCGGCAGCTCAAGACTCTGTCTTTCTCGGGTGGGTCTGTGGGCTCACGAATGGGGTGCCTGGGTCCCTTCTTCACCCACTGCTCTCTAGAAACATTTTCTCTTCCCACCTCCCAGGAAGACCCTCAAGTCTAGCTTCCATCCATCCTGCTGCAGAACCAGTCCTGGAACTTAGACCTCCCCTGTGGGGTGGGGGTGGGGACCTCTTCAGGGAGTCTGTCCCCAAGCCTGTCTTCTCTTGTTTCCTGGGCTTAGGTGGGCTTGGTTTCCATTCCCTCCCCTTCCAGGGGCAGCCCCAGAGGGCACATTCCAGCTGAAATTAAATCACATTCCTCCTTCCCTGCCTGTGCTGCTGATGGCATTGCTGACAGCAGCTGTGACACCACAGGGTCAAGTGGCAGCAGCTGGTTCCCCAAGTAGGGGCTGAGAAGGGAGGCCCAGGCGAGGAATGGGGCCTTTCTCTGGAGGCAGTGAATGAACGCTGATTCTTTGATCTTAAGAGGCCAGAGCAGGCCAGGCTAGGTGGCTCAGCCTGTAATCCCAGCGCTTTGGGAGGCCGAGATGAGTGGATTGCCTGAGCCCATGGGTTTGAGACCCGCCTGGGCAACTTGGCGAGACCTCATCTCTACAATAAATCAAAAATTAGCCGGGTGTGTTAGTGCCCGCCTGTAGTTCCAGCCTCTTGGAAGGCTGAGGCAGAAGGATTGCCGGAGCCCAGAAGGTCGAGGCTGAGGTGGCTGGGAGCGGCCACTGCACTCCAGTCTGGGTGACAGAGTGAGACTCCAACTCAAAAAAAAAAAGCCAGAGCAGGACAGAGCCTGCAGTGGGAGGGAAAAAGGTTAGACCACAGGATGCCATGACTGTGAGACGCCTCTGGGAATGGTCCAGCCCCACCAAGGAACCAGCGGGAGCGTGGCATCCAGCATCACCTTCTTGGAGGATCCTGAAAGAGAACCTTTGCCCCACTCCAGGGCCGGGCTCCAACCCAGACTTGAAGGCTGAAGGAGCCCTTTAAGAGACCACACGCCGAAACCCTTGGCTGGAGCCCAAAGCGGGACTTTGATTTCCTCCATGACTTTAGCGACTCTGCAGCAGCAGAGGCAGCAGCCGCGACAGGACAGCAGCGGGCTGGGCTGGACACAGAGAGCTCAGCCCCTGACCTCACCCTGAGGCGCCTCAGCCTGCACGGCCTTATAAGGAAGTGCCCCAAACAAACCGAGGAAGCCACCTCCGGGCCCCCACCCTGCCCCCACCCCGCGCACAGGCTATATTTACCCAGAGGAGGCCCCAGAATAAACTCCCACTTGCCCTCGTGTTTTGCGCGTGAGGGGGGTGCTGCCCCCCCTTGCTCCCTCCTCATTCCCTCCCCTGGGACTCCACCCGCAGAACTGTGTCCTGCTGTCTGCCATGATCACTCATTCATTCAGTCCTTTATCCAATACATGTTTACTGAGCATCCCCCCTGGGCTGCAGGCACTGTGCTGGACTCCGAGTGATGGCCAGGACAAACCCTGCATTCCCAGGGCACCCTGCGTTGCCAGGGTATCCTGGTCACCTTGTCCCCCATTTTCCTTCCACGCTTTGGCTTTCTCCAGCTCCTTCCCAGATGTCTTGTCTCTGTTGGAAGCTCCGTGGGGCACTGTCCTGGGCTCTCCTCATTCTCCATGCTCTCCCTGGGGAAACTCAGGCCACAACCCCCTAATTCCTGTCTCCAACCTGGTCCTCTCTCCTGAGCCCCAGGCCCACATGTCCACCCACCCCAGAACACCTCCTCTTGGAGGTCACAATTTTCTAATTCTCCATCTCAGAAGATGGCACCACCATCCCCTAGCTGCCTAGGCCAAAACCTGGGACCCTCCACCGGCATCCCCTCTATTCCCTACCACGGAGAACCAAGTCCTGAGATTCTGCCACCCCACATGTCTCCTCTCCACCCTGACCACCACACTGTCCCCTGCCTGGGCCTCCCTGAAACCTTCCTGCCCGCTCCAACCATTCTTGCACAGTAGCCAGAAGTTCTGACTTGAAATGCAAACTGGCCGGGCTCAGTGGCTCAGCCTGTAATCCCAGTGCTTTGGGAGGTCGAGGCGAATGGATTGCCTGAGCCCACGGGTTCGAGACCTGCCTGGGCAACTTGGCGAGACCTCATCTTTACAATAAATCAAAAATTAGCCAGGCATGGTGGAGCGTGCCTGTAGTTCTGGCTACTCGGAAGGCTGAGGTCTCGGAAGGCTGAGGTGGAAGCGTCACCAAAGCCCAGCAGGTCAAGGCTGCGGTGGCCGGGAGCATGCCACTGCACTCCAGTTGGGGCGACGGAGTGAGACTCCAACTCAAAAAAAAAAAAAAGAAATGCAAACCTGGCCACATCACCTCTACTTAAAGTCCCTCCAAGGTGTATTTCCTGGCTGTCTGCAGAGGTCTCTGCCCCTGACCCCGACCCACTCTTCTGCTCTTCCATCCACTGTGGACTTTCTCCTCCCTCCTTCTCCACCTTCCCCCACACAAGCCTGCCTTTCCTTCCTCAGTTGCCCAGGCTCTCACTTCTTGCCTCAGGGCTTCACACATGCTGTTACCTCTGACTGGAATCCTTCCCTTCTCCCTTTTTCTCCCCACCTACCATTCCTGCCCATCCTTCAGGTTCTCAGGGCAGCCTTCCCTGAGTGTCCCCTCCCATACTCCCCCAGCTCAGATCAGGTGAGGTCCCCTGCTCTGTGCTCCCAAAACCTTGGGTGCTTCTCTGCTTTCTTTTTTTTGAGATGAGTTCTCGCCAAATTGCCTGGACTGGTATCGAACCCGCGGGCTCAGGCAGTCCATTCGCTTCAGCTTCCCAAAGTGCTGGGATTACAGGCTGAGCCACAGAGCCTGGCCTCTGCTTTCAAATATGATTTCCACTCAGAAACCCTTGCAGGTAAAGCAGGCTGAACCAGGAACCATGTTATTTATGTCTGGATTCCCAGTACCTGTACAGCATATGGCACATAGTAGATTCTCAGGAAACAGTTGTTGAAAAGTGACAGTCTAGCTGGGCACGGTGGCTCATGCCTGTAATCCCAGTACTTTGGGAGGCAGAGGTGAGAGGATTACCTGAGTTTGGAGGTTCAAGACCAGCCTGAGCAACATGGCCAGACCTTGTCTCTACAATAAATCAAAATATCAGCCAGGCATGGTGGCACATGCCTGTGGTTCCAGCTACTTGGAAGACTGAGGCAGAAGGATCACCTGAGCCCAGCAGGTCATGGCTTTGGTGACTGTGAGCGTGCCACTGCACTCCAGCCTAGGCCACAGAGTGAGACTCTGACTTAAAAAAAAAAATGCAACAGTTTTAGCTGGGCATGGTGGCTAGGAAGGCTGAGGCAGAAAGATTACCTGAGCCCAGCAGGTCAAGGCTGCGGTGGCTATGATTATGCCACTGTACTCTAGTCAGGGCAACAGAGTGAGACTCCGACTCAAAAAAGAAAAAAGAAAAAGAAGAAGAAATGTGACTGTCACTCCTGTTACCACCACCAGGAATGTCCCTGTTACTGTCTAACCCTCATTTCTCTTGTTGTATCGACAGACATCCCTTCCAGAGAGAACACACCTCCAACATCCCTTCCAGAGAGAACACACCTCCAACTGCTTATCTCCTTTGAGAAAGTCCTCCTCTAACCTACATCCCACCCCGTTTGGGATTATTGGCCTAAATGGCTGGCTTGTAGCTCTGTAGGGGACCAGGAACCCTGGAGGGAGAGGGGGCAGGGCAGGCACTCAGACACAGGGAAGGACTGCTTGGCCCAGCCTCTGTCCTCGGCCCTCGCCCAAGCGGGGGTGCCCGAGGGCCCGAGGAGCTGCAGCACAGGACGCCTCTGTCCCATCAGAGAGGCAGGGAGTGGGCCTTCCTCGCCTGAAGTGTACTGGTCCTGGGCCTGGCGGCTGGTGAAATCAGATGGGGCCTTGTTAGCAGTAGGTACTGGAAGGAGAGAGTGGAGGCTTGGGCTGCCAGGGTGGGGGTATGGAGAGACAGGATCCTGACCCCCACCCCCAGGGGTGTGTGGGGCTTGTGAGGTGGGGCCTGGGTGCTGAGACAGAGGCTCTAGATGGAGAAGGGGAGAGGCCGGCAGAGAAGCAGACATGACAGGCTGTGGGAGAGGGCCTGGTACCCCCCTCCATGGCTAGGGGACCGGAGGGGCTGGGAGTTTCAGCATCTCATCTCGCCCAGCCCTTGGCCTTGAGCCCGAGGGTAGGAAGAGCCTGCTCCAGACTCAGAATTGTCTCCAAATGTGGAACATTCATTTGCCATCCCTATCCCATCCCCACCCAGGATATTTAGAGGTGTCTCCAGCACTTCCTCCCCTCCAAGTGGTTTCTATTTGGGTATTCTGACTCAAGGCCCTCAGGCCCCGCCTAATCCAGGAACCCCAGGTCCCCTCCTTGCCCTACACAGAGACCCAGAGAACTCCTGGGAAGGGGGTGGAGGGAGAAGCTGAGGCTGGAGAATTAGCGCAGCACTGTCATCGACAGACCCCTGGCTTCACCCTGACAGTTCAGCCCATGCCCCTCTTCACCCCACTTTCCCTTCTTCCCCATCCCGCTTCAGTGTTTGAGGAAAGTCCTACTGAAGGTCTAAGCTGCAGTCCTCCAGCTTCCACCAGTCTCCCTCCCGCTTTCCAGGCCCTGGGAGGCCCCCAAGTCACCTGGCCTGGCCTCCCTTATTGTGTGGCTGAGTCCGAGGCTCAGAAAGGATAAACGCAGACCTGAGGCCACACAGCCGGACCATGGCCGAACAGGCCACCCTCCCCCTTCACCCTGCTCTGACCCCGCTAGTCCAACAGACATCACAGGCCAGACAACTGTTTGGGTCTAGGGACAAGGGGGCTTATTATGCTGGCGACACCAAGGGGCTAGTTGAGGGAAACATGCAAGGGTGGGAGCAGCCCCGAGGCCTAATCCCTGTAATCAGTTCTGTGGGCAGAAATGATGATGGTGGCTTCTGCGGGACTGAGGTCACCTGGACTGGCCTCTCCCAGCCAAGCAACGGTCCCCAACCCTCCTCACTGCTGCCTGAGTCTGTCTTCTTCCTTCCTAGGGCAGCCCCTCCCCAGCACGGCAACTCCTTCCTCCCCCACACTCTCGGTACTGTCTCACTGCCCTGAGGACCCCCTGGACGAGGGAAGGAAGAATCCAGACTTTGTAGGCGGAGGCATTACTTTATTCCGGCAGGGGTGAGCCAGGCAGGGCCACAACATGGCAGGACGGGGGGTTGGGACATGGCAGCGCCCTCACCTTCAGCAGCCAGACAGGCCGTGAGGGTGCGCCACGCCTGAGGTGGGCATGGCTGCTGGGCCTGGGCACAAAGATGACACAGTCCCCACCCTCCGGAGGAGCCCCTGGGTCTTTTCCAGGCCATGGGATGCAGACAACGGGGCTCATCCTACAGGGACTTAGCGGACCAGAGCCTATGAGCTGGCGCAGGCAGGAGGCCCTGGGCAGGCAGTTGGTTTGCATCCCTCGAGCCTCCGTGCTTGGAACGGCCTCTTTGCCACACTTTACTCCCCCTTCGCCGGCCAGGCCTCTCGGACAGAATCCACGGTTCAAGGGGTCATAAGTTAAGGGTGCCGCCCCTGAGCAGGGAGGGGGTTGGGACATTCTCTCTCCCAGTTCTCCATGAGGGATGAGAGCTCTTTCTCTAGTCTTCCCCTGAAGACCAGGAATCTCTATCTCCTTCCCTCTGAGTGAACTTCAGGAACTGGCCTGGGCCCAGGTGAAGAGGAGCCCCTGCCCAAGGGGTCTTCAGGACACCCCCCTCCTCCTCCTGCAAGGGGCTCCCTCTCTCCCCCTCAGGGGCCCCCAGCTTTCCCTGTCCACCTCTCTCACACTGCTCCAACCCATTCATCACGCCCACAGTCACATGTTCTGACTCCTCCTCCGAGTTGGGGCCCCGGCCGTTGATACCAAGGGTGTCCCCTGCCGCGGGGCCCATGCCCCCCGCCCCGCTGGGGCCCTCCAGAGGACCTTGGTCCTCCCTCTCCAAGGAAACTGAGTCAGACTCTTCCTCTGAGCCAGAAGGCTCGGCGCTGTCCTGGGACTCAGTCTCCAGGGCAGTCCTGGGGGCACTGGGCACCGCACCCCTCAAGCCGTCATCCCAGGGTGCACTGACACCCATGGCCTCAGACTCCAGAAGGTCCCCTCTCCGAGGGCTACTTGGGGTCTGGGGGCTGCCAAGAGAGGAGCCTGGCCCCCAACGCCCAGCCCTGGGCTCCCTCCCCTCTTCATCTTCTTCCTCCCCCTCCTCCCCACTCTCTTCCTCATCTGCAAACCCATCGGACTCCTCATCCGCATCCCAGGCTGCAGGCTCCAGCAGCAACGGGGGCACCTGGCCCAGAGGTTCTGCCACTCCCCCGGGGACCCCAGGAAGAAGAGAAGCCTCAGTTCCCAGGTCCTCAAACTCCTCTGACAGGTCAGAGTCTCGGCCACCCTCCTCCTCCTCATCTTCCTCCTCCTCTTCTGAGGGTTGGGCCCCAAGGCCCCCAGAAGCCAGGTCAGCAGGATCCCAGCCTTCCTTTCCAGTCTCCCCCTGAAGGGAGGTCCTCTGCTCTCCGGCAGGGTCCCACTTGAGGGAGGCAGGGGACCTGAGGTAGAGGCCCAGGGGCGTGGAGTCAGGAAGGGTTTCCCCAAGCTCATCGGCGCTCTCTTCTCTGCTCTCCTCCCCCTCCTCCTGGAGGCCCTCAGGGATCTCCCCAGAGCCCAACTCCTCCTGTTCACCCTCCACTTTTCCCAGGGCCTCAGCCCTGCCCTCCAGCCCCCAGCTGGTCTCCAGGCTCCCCTGAGTGTGGGGCTGGAGCCCAGGAGCATCTTCCAGGATTGGGGTGGGTATTGGGCTGGGGGGGCCCAGCACTGCTGGTGCACCCTCTTCCGCATCCTCTGACCCCAGGGGCTGAGGCTGAAGGGCCTCACTTCCATCACAGCCTGAGGTCTCAGCGGGGAGCATCTCCTCTGCTCCCCAGGGGGCCTCAGGCTCGGGCCCCTCCCAGCCCTTGGGAGGCTCCAGGGGGTCTCTGCTCCCAACGGGTAGTTGAGAGAGTGCGGCCTCCAGGGGCTCTGCCTCCTCTAGGCCCTTTTCAGGCCCTTCCAAGCCTTGAGCCCTCTCTGCCTCCAAACTTTCCTCTCCCGGCAGTGACTCCGTCACTTGCTCTCTGGCCAGGTGGCCTGGGTGCTCCAGCCCTGCCACCTCCGGTTCCTCTCCCTGCTCAGCTCCCACAGCACACTCACTCACGACTGGCTCTGACCCCAAGGTGGCCTCCAGGAAGTCTTGGTCACCCGGGGGGACTGCATGCTCAACTTCGCTCAGGGGCTCTATCAACTCTGGCATTCCTCCAGGAGCCGGGAGGCCCGGGGTCCCCACCTGTTCTGGTTGCCCTGCCTGGTCCTGGAGGCTCTCTGCGCCTCCCTTCTCACCAGCTCCCCCAGCTGAGCCCCTCTGTTCTTTGGGTTCAGGGCTCCCCAGGCACCCCTCATCTGGGGTCCAGGCCTCCCCTGTGGCACTTGGCTGTAACTCTCCTGGCTCTACCACCTCCGCCTTCCCAGCAAAGTAATCCTGCTCCCCCAGGGCCGGCTCTTCCTCATCCTCATTTTCTACTCCGGCCCTTCCTGAGGGGCTGTCCTGACCCAGTCCTTGGTCCCTCACCACCACACCTTCCCACCCCTGTCCATCTGCAGAGCGTGGCATCTCCTGAGACTCTTGATTCTCCCCGTTCCTCAGGTTCTCTTCCTCTTCCAGATTCCTTGGACTTTCCTTGTCTCCCTCTTCTGGAGATCTCCGATCCTCTAGGCCCTCTGCTCCCAGAGGTCTCAGTGGTCCCTGGTTCTCCTTTTCTAGGAGCCTCCATGTGGCTTGGTTCTCCTCCACAGACCCCAGTGGTTCTTGAATTTCCTTTTCTAGAGCTTTCATTGTCCCCTGATTCATTCCTTCTAGAGACCACAGTGGCTCTTGAGTTTCTAGAGATTTCAATATCTCCAGGTTCTCTTCTGCAGACTTCAGTGATTCTAGGTTGTCTGCTTCTAAGGGTCGTACTGCCTCCATGCTCTCTTCTTTTAGTGACTTTAGTTCTTCTTGATTCTCTTTTCCAAGAGACATCAATGGCTCTGAATCCACTTTCTCTGTAGGTCTTAAAGTCATCTGGCCTTCTTCCCCCAGAGAGCTCAGTGGCTGCTGAGTGTCTTTTTCAAGAGGTCTCAATGTTTCTTGGTCCTCTTTTAGAGACCTCAGTGGCTCCTGGTTCTCTTTTTCTAGAAAGTTAAAGTCCTCTTGGTTCTCATCTTCAAAAGACCCCAGTGGCTCCTGGTTCTCTTTTTCTGGAGGTCTCACAATCTCCTGGTCTTCTTCCTCTAGAGACCCCAGTGATTCCTGGTTCCCTTTTTCTGGAGGTCTCACGATCTTCTGGTCCTCTTCCTCTAGAGACTTTAGTGGTTCCTGGTTTTCTCTTTCTAGAGGGCTAAAGTCCTCTTGGTTCTCATCTTTGAGAGGCCTCAGGGATTCCTGGTTCTCTTCTGTCAGAGGCTTCAATGTCTTCTGGTCCTCTGCTTTTTGAGATTTCAGTGGCTCTTGATCCTCCTTTTCTAGAGTTGTCAGTGACTCTAAGTTCTCTTCTAGAGAACTTACTAATTCCTGGCTTTCCTTTCCTGGAAGTGAAACTGTCTCTGGATGACCTTCAAGAGATCTCACTTGTTCCTGATTCTCTAAGGACTGCAGTGTCTGTGTGTCCTCTTTTCCTGTGGGCATCAGTAGCTCTGGAGTTGCCTTTTCTAAAGGGCTCATTGCCTCCACATCCTTTTCTTCTAAAGGCTTCAATAGCTCTTGACTTTCCTTTTCTGGACTTTGTTGTGTTTCTAAGTTTTCTCCTAAAGCCTGCAGAGATTCCTTATTCCCCTTCTCTAGTGTCTCATGGCCCAGGTTTTCCCCGGTTTTCAGTGGCTCCTGAATCTTCTCTCCCAGAGACTCCAGGGTTTCCTTGTCCACAGGAAGCCAGGAGTCCGGGGCCTCCTTCACGTTCACAACTCCCTCTTCTCTCCATACTTTTTGCTGCTCACTGCTTACTGCTTTGCCCTCTGTGGCTGTTTCTTTCTCTACTGGTCCCCAGATTTGCCCTTCACTTTCTTCCTGGAATATGCTGGACACTCTAGACCCCCTGGGTTCTGCATCCTTAGCCTCTAAACTGGAGTGGTCAGGGCTGAGGGGTGGGGCTGAGGAAACAGCGTCCTCTGGGGACTGGCCTGTGCTAGCCTCTTGCTGTGTGCCCCCAGGCTCCTCTGGCCCTGGCTGGACACTGGCAGGAATGGCCTCCTTGGCCTCAGCCCAAAGGGGCTCTGGACCCTGCTGCCTCCCACCCTGAGTCTGGAACAGGGAGAGAGGGGCATCCTGGCCTTTGATCTCTGCCTCCGTGGCAGGACAGGGAGCCTGAGATGTGGGTGGGATGGGGGTGCTGGCCAAGGTGGGGGTATGGGCCTGGAGGAATTCCCGGCTCTTCAGAAAAGCTGGCACAGGTGTCTCAAGGGTGGCCGGCAGGGGTGAGGGGAGGACAGTCGGGCTTACGACTGGGAGCAAGGGTCCAAGACGCCGGCCCTCTGGGGTCCCAAGGAACTGCAGCTCTAGAAAGGCAGAGGGGGAAGAAACAGCAGTGAGGAGAGCCATGGAGCAGCCACTACCACCAGCAGGAGTGCCCATGGGGTCTGCCCCAGCTTCCACTGACTGGGCTCCCCCTCTTACCCTGGAAGCCGAGGGCAGCCTTGGAAGCACCACCAGGTGTCTGCAGCCGGGAGTTCTCAGCCTCCAGGAGGGTTCTGGGGAGAGGGAGGAAAAGCTGGGTCAGCCGCCCGCCCCCAGACATGCAGGCAGCAAGCCAGCTGGACACCTTGGTCCGAACTTGCACTGTCCCTAGCACTGCAGGGCGCCTCTTCATTTACCACCATCACACAAAAGCCACACATGGGGTGAAATCACAGGGTCACACACCCACAGACTTCACACACTTAGTCACGCAGTCACACACATATCTGGGACACACAGCAGAGCCCACAGAGACACAAGCAGATTCCCACACAGTCGGACACTGCCACAGGCACACCCACACCCGGTTTAGACGAGTCTCCACCTCCCACCCTGGCCGATGACCTCATCCTCAGTGTGGGGGACTGATTCTTATGCTAATTACTGCCATTGTCCACATCACCATCTGGAGGGTCTGAGAAGGGGGGCTTCTCAGGGAAGTGGGAATTCTCAGGCGGTTCCCATGGGATGGGCTCCCTCCTCCCTCTCTGGGCCCCCAGAGCTAGCAACAGACAAAAGCAAATGAATTCTGTGCTCTCTCTCCAAATCCTTTTCATGCCTCAAAAACCAGCGGTTAAATGTCTTGGGACCCTCAGTAGTTTCACTGGGGTCAGGGCCTTCATCTTGGGATCTCTAGGCACCCTGGATCCGAAGCTCTTCAGGGCATGGCGGTCTTTGTGGCCAGGTCCCTGCCTCAATGTCCCTTGGGGCTGATGGAGAGTCTAGTCAATTCAACAAGTCCCAGTGAACACCCACTCCCTGCCTTCCTCCATGACCTCCAAGTTTGGTCAGTACTCACTGCGGCTTCACTCTGTCCTTCCTCTGAGCTCTGTCTTCTGTGAAGGCAGAACCCACCTTCCACAACCTGCTAGATGCTCACCGACCTTCCTTCTCTGGCCCTGCCCCCTCTCCCTTCCTGGACCTGTCCTAGGGTCCCTGCCTTTTTGCCAATGGATCCCATAGGGGGTGGGAGGAAGGAGGCAGTTGCACTATCCTAATGGCTTATGCAGCCCTGACCTTTGCCCTGTGGGCTGGTGACGCAGCCCTTCACAAGGCCCAGAGCCCCTTCCTTGGGCTGCTTCACTGGATCCTCAGCCACTGGGCCAGTTTCCCAGGAGAGACCATAGGCTCCGCCCAGGGCCACAGGGTCAGTGAGAAGGAGCCCCTCTTTGGCCTCAGGCTTTTCTTTCTTTCTTCCTTTCTTTTTTTGAGTTGGAGTCTCACTCTGTCGCCCAGACTGGAGTGCAGTGGCCGCTCCCGGCCACCACAGCCTCGACCTGCTGGGCTCCGGCGATCCTTCCGCCTCAGCCTTCCGAGTAGCCGGAATTACAGGCGCGCGCTACCACGCCCGGCTAATTTTTTGATTTATTGTAGAGATGAGGTCTCGCCTGCCCAGGCGGGCCTCGAACCCGCGGGCTCGGGCAATCCGCTCACCTCAGCCTCCCAAAGGCGTGGGATTACAGGCTGAGCCACCAAGCCCGGCTTAGGCTTTTCTGTCTTTTCTTTTCTTTTTTTTTGAGTTGGAGTCTCACTCTTGCCCAGACTGGAGTGCAGTGGTCACCGCAGCCTCGACTTGCTGGGCTCCAGCCATCCTTCCACTTCAGCCTTTCAAGTAGCCGGAACTACAGTCATGCGCTACCACGCCCAGCTAATTTTTGATTTATTGTAGAGACGAGGTCTCGCCAAGTTGCCCTGGTGGGTCTCGAACCCGCAGGCTCAGACAATTCACTTGCTTTGGCCTCCCAAAGTGCAGGGATTACAGGCTGAGCCGCTGAGGCTGGCCTTTTGTATTTTATTTACTGTAGAAATGAGGTCTTGCCGACTTGCCCAAGCTGGTCTCAAACCTGTGGGCTCAGGCAATCCTCTCACCTCGGCCTCCCAAGGGGCTGGGATTATGGGTGTGTGCCATCGCGCCCGGCTGGCCTCAGGCTTTTTTAAGACAACAGGAAACATAGTCAAGGCTGGGCAGGGTCATTGGCACTGTGGCTCCAGAGGAGTTGACCCATGACATTTCGACAGGAACAGGCCGCGGAAGTCATCTGGCCCAGCTCAAAGCCCCCAGACAAGGCTGAGCCCAGGTCAGGTGGTGGGTCGATGCCCCCCAGTACCTCTTTTCTGAGGTTGCTGAAGGACATAGCACCCTTGGTGTGAGTACACACACGGGTTTGGGGCTTTCAGCCCCTTGGGGGAGGGTCTGGGGCAGATGCCCCCATGTCCAGCCCTTCTCCTGAGGCCCTCCCCTTCAGTGACATGGCTTCCTAGCGGGATTTCCTGGGCAGAAGACACTTCTCAGGTCCTGAGCCTATGGGAGAGCAGGAGGGCTCAGGCAGGACATGTCCTGGTGTGGAAGCGCTGCCACACCTGTGCTTCTGGGCCCCTCCAGTCACACTGGCCCCAGCATGCGTGTGTGCGTCTGTGTGCCCGGGTGGGTCAGGATCAACTTGTACCTGTACGTGGCCACCTCCAGGCTGAGGGACATCTTGAGGTGTGCCAGCTGCTGTCGACCTTCCAGGACCTGGGCGATCTGGCTCTGCAGGCCCTGTTTCTCCTGCTCCAGGGCCTCCACCGCCAGCTGCAGAGCAGGCCAGAGGCCGTCAGTGAAGGGGCGAATTCCTTCTGCTGTTTAACCTGCATCGTCCTTGGCTGCCATCGCTGGCTTCTCTACAGAGCAGACCCCTGCCTCCCCACCCCACCCCCAGAGAGCCCCCAGGTCTGCGGACGTGAGCACAGGGCCCCTCAGCCCTCTCCCACAGTCGCTGTTCCCAAGGATGCTGATTAAATGGTAGCACATGTTGCTGAGAACCCAACTCCCACAGGAAGTGGGGGGTGAGGAAGAGAGGAGATGGGTTACAGAAAGGGGAGAGAAAAAAGTGGAAGCAGAAGGAAAAACGATTCATTGAGAGGCCGGAGGAGCTCACAGGACGGAAGCCAGACAGCCCTGTCCCATTGGCCCCATCTCCCGAGGCCCTCCAGCTCCTCACACCAGGCACTCGCCCCCTCCGCTCCCGCGTTCTGGAATCTTTCTCCTCTGAGAGGAGGAGGGGGAGGTGGCCGTGACACCTCTCTGTCTGGCCCAGGCAAGAGGCTGTTTTCTCAGCTGCTGGTCACATCTGCGCAGAGTGAGAAGGAGCAGCTGTCCCAGGCCTCTGGAATGTGCTTCAGGGGCCCGAAGCGGTGACATGGGAGAGGGGATGGTGGCCACTCATTCGGGGCCCCACACCTCCCTGTCAGGGGCGAGGGGGGCTGTGAGGGGCTTGGAGATTCTGAGTGGCCAGACCGTGGAGTCAGCGCTGAGGAGGGACTGCCACAATGGCAGCGCTGGGCCGGGGCCATCGGGGTGGGCAGGTGCCACCCAGAGGGCGAGGGGGCTGCCACAACGGTCTCGGGCCGGCTGCTCCGCCACGGGTCGTCCTTGGCGCGGCCTCCGGGTCCCCAGCATCCCCGCCCGGCTGGGCGGGCTGGAACCCGTGGCACCAGGCCTAGGTCGGCACCACCCCGCCCACTCCCTTCCAGGAAGGTCTCTGAGCCTCCTCGGGACTCCCTGGAGCCTGCCCCGCCCAGGCGCGCCACCTCCTCACCTGGAACTTCTCGGCCGCCCGCAGCCGCT